TCCAGTTTTGGTAAATCGTATTGTATTTTAACTGCTTAAAGTCACAATGAGTCTAACTAGTGGAGTGTCAAACTGTAAAGGGTGATTTTTATTGTTGGGGTTCTGTTGTTGTACCGTAATATATAACGCCAAGCAAATTAGTTCTGAACAGGGAATTACGTTTTACGTCAACTGACAGACAACCTCGTAACACACGGTTCTATCGATGCAGGTCGCTGGAAATATTGAGGAAGTCTAACGGTCGATATATTGATCTCATTGAGAAAAATTCTATTTTATTTTTGTATGCTATATAAAACTGGGCGTGTTTGTTGTTCGTTTAAATCATTTTCTCGTTTGAGAACGTGACATTACTTACTTGGATTTCACTTGGCTTGTGCCGTCGATGAAACTCCAAGAAGCTTATTCTTCAGGAACACATTGATTTTAAGTTTGGATTGGGATTATGTTGACATGTTGGTATTTACGTTTTTTGTCTGTTTGTGGGTTTTTTTTTTGTCAGCCAATCGGATTCGACGAGGTGATGAAAACTGTCAATGTCCGTTTAAAATACCAGTGCAACCCACCAAGAAGTTTCTTAGAAATGTGTCTGACAAGTTCAAGAAAAAGAAAAGGTTGGATATAAAAAATCAAGTGAATGGCACCTGTTGATATAAATTTAGAGTTTCAATGTAGATACCGTAAAATTAAGTGGCTCGTCGTTCATGCTAAAATTAGAATTCCAAACTGAAGAAGTCCAAAGTGATCAAGAAAAGTGTCAAAATCTAGACGGGAATATATACTAGCCTAGTGACTCTATGAATAAAATTACAGGTGTTTTTTTATAATTCTAGAACAATATCAAGCATATGTGCATATTCTGATCCGAGCTATTATTAAAAAAATAATTAAAATGCGACCTTACAAGTTATCCGTACCTATTTGTCATATGCTTTAGAAAGTGTCCTATCTGTAGCTAGAATTTTGAAGAATATTGAAAACATTTGTCTTATGGTTGACAATTATCCGTTTTTCTTCGAATGTCTTTGGATCGGAGATCAACTTGTTCTGGTTGCCAAGAAACATTCTGTTTGGCTGGTGACGTTTCACGCCTAAATGACATGGCGTGCGACGATGTTTAGTGTCGTCGACAGAAGTCAATGTTCTGTTTGCTTAAAAAGATGTCCACTCTCCAAGCTTTTCTAATAACTCAAGCGTTTGTGTATTCTTTCCGAGATTGACTGAGTTCTACCTTCAAGGAAATTAGCCTAACACAGCTACATGGTGTCAGATTTATTTGTTTGGATAAGATTGTTAAATAAAATCAATTTCTCTCTATTAGCATTGCTTTTATACCAGGAACTTTGCCCGGGGTCAAATTATCCGGTTATTGTACAGTCCTGTATCATTACTGAGTATACGATCATATGTGGACTCCCAGACGTCAGCCTTTACACGTTTGACCATCCACGGTCTTATTTGATGTACTTTGAACAAGTCACCACGGGCTACTCCCGTGTACACCAACACGCGTTAATATTGTATGGTGTTTATATGGAATCTGTTGAATGCTGGTAACAATCATCTGAAACACTGCCAGGACAATTCTATCGAGAAGGAAATAATTGTGTTCTAATTTTAGGAAACTGTAGTTCAACGTTCTGAAACTGTGTAGAACTGTAATGCTTGACCAATGCAAAAAAAATACCTGTTTATTTATTTTATATTTGATAAAGACGGCTTTTCCTCAAAACATATTTCTATAAAATTGATTTTAAACGTGAAACGTAGATAACATTTGCGTGATTCAGGATTCATAATTTTGACGAAGACATAGTCTTTGGCTTTGAAGTTTCATATTCTCGACGGAACAACCTCTGAAATCATTGCGAGCGGAATTTCGTCAATATATTTCAGCAAGACGATATTTCGGCTATCTTGAAACACAGTCATGCGTGATTATTGCACTGCGTACTTTATTTTCTTCGTTCACCAATCAAATTGGAACATGATTTAAGGTTATCAAGTACACGTGCACGTGCATTATTTCACCAAAGTGTGTCTGATTTGATGTAATCGATAAGTTCTCTATTGACATGTAGACAAACTAAAGCGAGAACACATTTTCATCTCCCTTTTATTCATCTTAACGATACTAAAGCATTTTATATCGACCCAAAATGAAATAAATGCATTTAACTTTTGACAGTTATCTGCTTATGTAGGTGTCTGAGGTATAGAATCTCCATGAGACATACTATACATTTGTTGACTGGGTTTGAGGTCAACATGTGCTATGTTGAACCAGAGGACTAAACTGTTGCCCGAGGCCCTTCTGACCGAAAGTCCAGTCTACAAATGTTTAGCAATGCTTCCTTGTAGGCGTGATGGCGTGTTTGTGTGTGCTTAAAACTGAAAATTGTCGAGTAACGGCCGAAGAGTACCGAATAGTATTGAGCTGTGATGTAAGCAGTCAACATCCAGATGTTGACCTCTGGAATTTCAGACTTTATTCACTATAAAAAGCATAGGGATTATATAGTAAAGGTATAACAATGTTTTTATGTTCCCATATCGAAAGGTCGGGATATATTGTTTTGTTTTTTCTGTTATTTGTCTGTTGTCAACTTCAAATTTGTCCTTTACTATTGCATTGAAATAAGTAAGGATTTCATATTTGGCATGTGAGTTCCTTGGTTTGACCATGTGACTTTACCGTGACCTTTGACCTACATTTGAAAAAAACTTAAACATTGGCCTTATCTTTTGCACTGTAAGAGGTAGGCTTTAATATTTGACAGAGTTCCATCCCTTGATCTTTCCAATAGTTCATAGTTTCCGTTCATTATCTCAAATATCACACATGTGCACATTTTGAACAATTTGCAGCGTCATTCATTACCTACGTATACATAAGTGTGAGTTCAGATCCAGGTTGTGTTTTACCTCAGACGTTTCAGGTGTTGTTTATTTGTAAGAAAGTAAGAAAAACATTACCACAATGAAGACATAAGTGTTTCTCAGAGTGCATGCAATTAACACATGTCTTTGTTGCAGTTTGAGGGGCATATTGTTTGATAAACACATCTAGTTTCTTATGATTGTTTTTGTTTTGTTTTTCATCTTCTTTTTTCATTAAAGGAATTTGATACAGACTAATATTTAGCTAAAATAAATCATTAGGTGGTCGGATGGCGCAGTGGTAACACTCGCCTTCACCTAGCCATCTGGGGATCGATTTCCGGAACAGACGTGAAAGGAGGGTGGGAGGAAGGTGGGGGAGACCAATTGGGGTTCCCCGGGTACTCCGGTAGGTTTCCGCCACTGTAGACATCAAGCGCTTACATGTGGAGATGTCTTGTCGGGATGTAACTTCTGGTCCTAAGACACTTGACCGATGACTCCATATAGGTGAAAGGCACATGTTGCACGTGAGAGCAAAGACACGGCGGCATCCAAACTTGACCGCTTTATAAGCATTTCGTCTTACTGCCTAAGTTTTGTTCAGGTTATTTACGTGCTTATAAAATCAAAATTGTGTTGAACTATTGACAGAGAAGAAATTAAGCGTATCTATTTGACGATACACAAAATTTGAAGTATGTGGTGAAAATTTCGACCAGACGTAAATACAACTTGCTCATGGAACATTACAGACTACATATGTTCATATGTCTGCGGAAAAAAAAACCCTGATCACTAGAACGAAACTTAGCGGAAATACAATTATGTAGGAAACCTTGTCTGATTGGTAGCAATTTGCTTTTTACAATGCAAAAAAAAGTGACGTAATTTTGGTGAGAGATACCTAAACCTCAATGAGAAAGCAAACCGTGTAGCTAGCCAGTCTTAAGTTGAATGGACCATATGTCTTGGCGGAAAAGTTATGAGAGTTATGATCAAACTGGAACCAAACGGAACCTCTCTCGTTCGAGATAAAACAGTCTGGCCGACAATAACAAGTCTGTTCAAAGAGGTTTTGTACGTGACACTTGACAAACTGTAAGAACGTTTCAGCGGAAACACTACGTACTGATCATTTAGAAATCATGACGTCTTGTCTGTAAGCGGAGTCATTTTATATGAACGACATTGACTAGTCATTATGTGCTAAATGGAGTCATCATTTGTCTTAGCGGAAGTGCAATTATGCAAATTGACGAATTTTTTCTTTTAGAATAGATGGCGTTAACTCTCGTGATCACTTGAACGATACTATATAAACCTACTGGACGTTTGATTTCGTCCAAACTTTGTCCCATCAGTCACGTATTCCACACCACACAACAAGGACGCTGTGAGAGGGATACTAGTCATAATTAATTGCAGTTTATTGATTTTTTTATAGAAGATACAAACGTTTATCAGATTTTGCATTTATTTGTAATATATTTCGGAGAATAAAAATATATTTAGTTTATGCAACAGTAAACAATAGTTCACAGACCGCCACACTATCTGATCATTTGTCTTTCATTATTGATCTCTAAAGCCTGTAAATCGCAGTGGAGGACGACCTTACATTTCCGAAGCGCGTGCAAGTGAATCAGTTTGTGAGAAAGTCTGTCTCTCAAGCCGGAGCTAATAAAACTGTGTAGGAGCATTTTGTCCTGTCACATAACTTGTTACGGCGCTATGTAATCAATATGTCACGCAAATTATAGTTTTTTTTTTTTTAAAATCTGTAAATTTACTCCGGTCCGCCTCAAGCGACAGCTGTCTGTGTGTGCCATTTTCTCGTTCTGGTTCGCTTTTCACACATCATAAATACATTACGATGTAGAAGTCTGTTTTAGCTACGATCAGATAACCAGTGTAATTTGAACTCCGGGTCTCCTCCCCCTTGTGCAGGTATTTCCTCTGTTAGTATATGGGTCACGAACGACATGGTCACTCAGCCATGCCGCGCATTATACTCTCTACTCAACATCCGACTGCTGTGGTGGAATATATATACAAACTAAGTTTGCTAGTGTATATGTAACCAGCCGATGCCGAAGGAACTTGTTGCTGTACACACAGTACATACAATCATGAGCTCGTTTCTTTCAGGGAAGTGTGAGTTCCGTTTAATTCACTACAAAGCGGCATGTGTTTTCGCTTAGTTGGACACCCTTGGATAAACTGTGTTTAAAATTCCCTAGAGGAACTTGGATGTGTAGTTATGAGGTTTGTCTGTTTATAACTTTTTATTTTCCTGTACATGTTTAAAAGTCTTGACGTGGTAATTGAATGGTTGAATAGTATATCATTATAACAATATCAAAATGGGAAAACCGAATACTCGTTCAGTGACGACATAAAATTGTTGATGATCAACATACGAGACTGCTTTGTACCTATGTAGTAACCATAAATGATACGACCTCTTAAATATCGAGTATTTTCCCATTTAAGTCAAGATTGTGTATTATATACTTAACGATTCCGGAAGGATATATATGTACACTGATATGTATTAATACAAAAGTATAGCCGACAGTCTGACAACAGTATTGTTACCCATAGCCACATTTTCGTATTATTGGTGTACAATTTACATCGCGTTTATAAAACGTAGATATCCCTGAGGGAGCATGGCACCTGTTATCTTTACCTGATCTTTAAAATCTATCTTTTTTTTCATTTTTTCTTTCTTGTCGCTCGTAATAATTTGAATTGAAAATTCCCCTTAAAATAGTGGTAATAATCTTTGCATGTAAATGTGGAATTCAAGATGGTCGCGTGTCAGATAGTTTGTTTTTCTAATAATTTAAAGAAAAAAAATTTGACTCACCTTCTCCGAAGGTGGTGCGTCATCCGTCGTCCGTCTTTCGTCATTCGTCAGCTTTTAACTAAAAATCTTTATTAATCATGAAATTTTGCCAGAAGCATCCTTAGGGAAAGGAAACCAAGTTTGTCTAAATATTGGCTATTGGCTAAAAACCCAAGATGGCAGTAACTATAGCTACGAATGATCTAAAATGAACTATGCACAACTAGGGACTAAAGCGAAACTACATACATGTATGTTGTTTGAGAATGATTCATTGAACAAATCAACTAATATAGTGAAAACACTAATTATTTAAGGACGGGCGACGAATAAAGAACGATTTGAAAAGTTCATGATCTGATGATGGTGGACCAAAAGATACCACATACTCAAGCAGCTATCAAAATCGTCCTTGACATATGCGCTTTAATCACAGAAGTGACATATAATTATCATTCATTGTTTTCTAAATGTTGTAAATTATCCTGTTTTTGTTTGGTACAGCTGTAAGTGTATGGCCTGACACGAGTTTTATATGCGTTAACGTCAAAGATATTTTGTGACTGGAAAGCATTGTTGGATTGATGAAATAAAATTATTTCGATTTTTTTTTCGTGAATTCTGTACTGTAAGTAGAATATACTAGCTTAAAATTCTGAACCTCTTCCCTCACTCGTTTTCTATACGTGTGACCAGGGAACGGACGTCTGATAATATTATGACGAATTAACATGACTTTTGTCTCATATTTCATTATGTTGTTTTGCTGTTTATTACGAAAGTAAATCTCCAATGCTATGCACGATGAAGCTGTCCGCACCAGATGAACAGACTCATCTGATTGTGGCCATTTGCTGCTGTACTGCGGAAGAAGCTACAACACGTTAGACAACTGGTGTTGATAGACATTTGACTTTCTTCTGAATTATTGAGGTCGTTAAGCGACAAGCATTAGGGATGCGGATGGTTGTCGACTTCGCGTTTATGTGTTGTTATTAGAATGAAAATTTGGAGCAGATCACAGATCACTTAAGCCAAATTTCTCAGAACGGACGGAATATACAATTTGTTTATCTGGTTTAAAACGTTATTGGAACATCAAAAGAGTAAAACAATTTTTTTTTTAATTTTGAGTAATCATTGATTGTTGAAATACTGAAAAAACAAAACCATCATGTGAAAATGTCACAAACTGCCTGTTTTCTAGTTTAACATACCAAATTTGTTTTAATGTTAAACTTGGTAAATATTTACTATTTTCTTTGCTTGAATGACTCGTTTTGTTTATTACAGAGGCCAGAATAGATTTAGTGCAAGTTTGGAATAAGTTGGCATAGATACCAGGATTTATTCTCAAAATGGCGATCTCGACTTGGAATAGTGCTATTGTAATTATTACGTGTTTGATCAATAATGTTTCCGGATTACTAAACAAGGAAGTGATAAAATTGGGTTACATTACCGGTTCAGAACGGTACAGTATTCACCAGTTCTACCATCGTCCAGGACAGTCTATTTCCGGGGCGATAACTCTGGCCGTTAAGGAAGTTAACGAAGATCCTGCCATTCTTCCAAACCACACTCTTGAGTTTGTGATAGCAGAGACATATGGAATGGAACGTATTAGCATCAAGCAAACCGTGGAACTCCTAGGTAAAGGGATATGGGCCTATATCGGACCACAGGAAACATGTATTCACGAAGGACGAGTAGCGGCTGCCTTCAATCTTCCAATGATCTCCTACGTAAGTAAATTAATTGCTTTTGTCTTTTCCGATAACATTTAAGAAAACTGTTCCAATTTCATAAAACAGAAAAAAATAAAGATATTAAAAATATAACATCCGTTTGTTTTAAAAGAACAGAAAGTAAACATGTAGAAATCTACTCCAGCTTTTTGATATCTTCCATCAAGAAAAGCTGACTACGTTATGTCTGAATAAGTCGTCAATACAAATATATATTAGTTAATTTTGTGAAAAAACCAAGACAACAATACATCACATATATGTAAGCAAACACGAAATTTCATAATAAATCAAATGAGGGCAAAAGATTAGCAAAATAATGATCACGTTAATCTTTAAAAGATACATGTGCAGTTGGACCATGTGTTTCCGATTAAATGTAGGCAAGGCCACGTTCTCAAAATGAGAACCAGGGTAGTGATAACAATACGTAGGTGTGAAGACGTTAAAACAAATTACGGTAGCTGTTGGGAAATTCATTGTAAACCTGCCCTAGATATTAAGAATTTTCTGGGGCATTGCAGTGCAGTATCGTGTCTGGCTCTAAGGTTTTGCCGGGCAGAGCGAAAAACCTCATTCCTACCGAGCGCAACGACATAAATCGACCTGAGACGGGTGTGCGTTGTGATAATTCACGATGCTACAACCGGGTGGGGGTTGGGGTTGGTACACCTGTCCTATTTTTGTGTCGGAATCTTTGAATAATTTGATTAAAACCTATAATAAGTAATTATCTCTCCCAGCAGAGAAAGTATTTGTGAAGGTGAAATTCAACATGAATTACGTTCCAAAAACTCAAATCACATTTCCGAACTAAAGTGTTTCCGCGGGGAAAAGTTTGTTGGGTGATAAAACGCAAAAATGTCTGGAAGTCACATCACCTTTAAATCCCACATCTCTAATAGCTCTCAGGTACATGTATATTGCCAACCACCGCTCTTAAGGTTCTTGACCGAAAGCAATACCATCGCACCAATGGAACACAAAGTTAAATTGACCATTTAGCAGCTGATTTTGTCGGGGGAGAGGGGCAATATATTTCATTCAAAATGTGATACATTTTGTATGTACTACTATCTGTAACGCTAATACTGGTCTTAAGAGTGTTACATTATGACATAATCATAAGTTAAACTCAAATTCCATAAAACTAGGACAAAATATAAACAAAAGAATGATTTACACGAGACCGAACAAGTACAAGGAGAAACAGATAAAGTGTTCCGGAAGTGTAATCGACAGGCACCATGTAAACCTTTTGCTATTCGAAGTAAGTAATATCACGTTCTCAAATGAGAACAAGATATACAACAACGGAACCAACAAGCAAACTAACGTGCATCAAATATGCCCAGCTTCATGTCACACAAAGAAATAGAATGTTTCTGAAAGGGATCGCTATGGCGACTGTAAAACTTCCCCATAATTTCCATCAATCGAATCTTTTGAACCCTTGTGTTATGAGTTGGTCAGTCAATTGATTACTACCTACACGCAAATCGTGATAATGGGAACAAGCCTTTTGATATTGAATCATCTGTGACATGTGATTACCATAATTTGGGAATGCAGGATTATCGCTATCCAGAAATGGAAAATTCACAGTAGGGAAATTGAAATAATCACGTTTATCAAACAGCTTGATGGAAAGTTGTCCTTGTTGATTTCATTGTAGGCAAAGATCGAGATATGTAGAAGAGTTATGTGGGGTATATACGATGGGCGTGGTCAATAAATGTCAAGACGTCATCAATATATCTGAAAGTGAAATTAAACGCCTTTGCAATGTCTTTGTGACCTGTCTTGATAAGCATTTAATAATTCAGCCTCGTATGAAAATAAATACAAGTCAGCCAACAGAAGGGGTGAAGTTGGTTCCCATAGGTATGCCAATGGTCTGCTGGAAGGTCGTACCACCAAATCCGACGAAAATGTTGTCAACCAGAAACTCAATCATTGTTATGATTTCGTCCTCCGTATATTTCTTCTTTGATTTGAACGTAATTTTTACGAAATGCGCTTCAGAATAGTTCACAACCATATATTTATAGCGCTGTTCACCTTTCTCGGGAAAAGAGAGCTCTCGCGACAGGAGAAGGACGGCGTTCCTTCAGTTTAGAATGGGGGTTTTGTTGTGTACGGGATGAAAAAATCAAATGTTCTTATATAAGAAATGTTTTTAGGTGCTGAAGCTTCATCAAAAGCTCTATGGAGTTCTTCAAATCCCACGTACTATTAATTCCAACTTTTTGCGTAAACAGTATCACAATAATTCGATAGTACTTGAAATGGTGGTTAGCAGTTTAGACAAAGGATTGGTTAATCAGTTAGACGAGTGAGCTATAAAACGTTGTTTATATGGATTCTTTTGAAGTTTAAGGATCCAGTATAGACGAGGGAGGTCCGTATCCAATGGGTTTGTAATACCGATTAGCTTTTGAAATCTTCTGAAAGTTTGTACAATGTATAGGTAGGGTTTTTCTTCGTTATCAAGCAAGCCCAATTCTTTTTGTATACAGGAAGAGTGGTATATTTGCAGTTGTAAATCTTGGAGTGTGGATTGAACATCGTGATCGAAGAAAGCGGACCTGTGTTTTGTGTTCATTTTCAAATTGCAAAGTCTTGTACGAATGATGGACCGAATGGATTTAACCCACTCAGAAGGTGAATCCAACGCAGCGTGTTCTCGTTTCGCCCATTCTCTGGCATATTTTTCAACCGAATCCATAAGTATCCTGAAATTCACATTCCATTTAACGAACAGGGTTGCATGGTATTTAGGACTCTTCACGAAAAGCTCTCCTAGTTTAACATTTTGAATTATGTTTAAAACATGAACAAATTGACGGAGGACTAGTTGTAAGGTCATCTACATCCAGTTGCTGCAGCGTTTGTTTGTTGTTGAACAGTTTGAATTCATTGGGCTTGAAGTAACTATAGGAAATCACAGTGGTGTTTCTACTTTGAAAATATTGTGGAATGGTAGCCTGAATAGACTTCTGGTGTAAAATATTGCTGATTGTAAATAAGGGAGTGAATGTTATAAACAAACTCAACATTCATAAATTGGCGAGTTGTTGAATGATCGCGGCCATTAAAGAGCCTCATTTATGCCACATCATCAATAATTTTATAAAGTCTCCAAGCTAGTTTCCACCGATCACCAGAATTAGTACTAGCTGAATCCACTTGAAGCTATGGTATTACGGAGAGAGGAAGGGGATATAACGTAGTTCGAACATGATGGACACCTAGTGGTTTCTGTAAAGTGTCCATTAGATTTTCAAACGTGACAGTTTACGTTTAGTCTGATGAGTGAATAAACCCATAACGTTATTGTTACTGCATCCAGGTCTTGACAAATTTCATACAGAGTTCACGTGGTCATTGCAGCCATATGGCGCAGCAGTGTCAAGCAGTTTAATAAAGTGTTCCTCACGTTGTCTACGGAAGGGCGTGCTCAGTGTGGGTCATTTGTACGATCGTAAAGTTTTTCCAAAATACGGACAGTGATGAATGGTCCGGGAGGCTGCAATGTTGATACACACATTGATTCTCTCCGCGGTTCACTGCTGAACAATGACCATTCATACGTTGTCGTAATTGTCCTTTTCTTTATATCAAACAACAGAGAGTAACATCATCATGGAATACATAATTCAGAAGTTACAGTAGTAGTAGAACCAAATTATGAATCATTTACTGCGCCGAACAGCTGTTCCATTAATCTAGGCACACGTCAGTGGTGTTGAGGGTCTAAAGTGTTGTAATCTAAGAGGCGACAGAGAAAAGTCAAAGTAGGTCAAATATCAAAGTCAAGATGGGAAGGTAACTAGCCCCGTAATTTCAAATATTGTATGATATGATGAAAGACATGTCAGTTTCTTGTGGACATTCTGAGTAGTGTCTTTTGATTCTTCAAAAACTACTTATGTTTGTTTATGTAAAACATATGTGATATCCTTCCTTATTGTAGAGGTTTCTACAAAATTTCACCAACGCCAGAGTTGCCATACATTTGTATTATTTGTCGTTATAAAACAACAGCCGATGGTATGGACGCCTTATAGTATCTGGTGGCTATCTCACTAAACAACATACGGGAGGTCCGTCGCATATCATCCAAACCAATTAAAGTAAAGTGTGTTTTACAAGGACACAGCCATGACAGCAGAGACCAATCAGTCTCTCAGCTTCCTGTGAAACACAAACCGCCATGGTAAGGAGCGTCTCAACACGCAACCCGGATCTACATCTGAAGTTCTGTACGTAGGCTCTTACCAACTCGGTAACACGAGGCCCCAAACTCATGTATGCCAAAACATAATGTTGTTATTACTTGATATAAAACAACGGTACAATTAGCTGTTCCAAATAAGTAATATGATAACATTCATAAAACATTGGCATAATTATATCCATGTGAATTGTGGAGTAATTACAGAGACCAAAATCACGATGTAGAAATATTTTCACGTTGGCGTCTATATAGTTACTGTATTACACAAAACCACTGTAGCAAATCTGACTCACATTGCTCCTAAAAAATCTCAAATCAACATAGTTTGGCAAAAGCAGTTAACATCTGTTGGCGAGGGACTGGCAGCCGAGAAAGATGGCCAGGACGTGATAAAAATAAGATAATTGGATTTTGAATGAAATGAAAATTAATGTCACTTCCGGTTGACATGTACTTACCATGACAGGCAGGTCGAGGAGTATTCTATAAGTAAGTATTATGTATCGAATTCCCCCTTACTCTGTCATTACTAAAGCCCTTCCATAGTGTGAGGCACTGAACTTTACTGATCTTATCCTATCTGATAAAGGAGTGGCGGTAGGGGTTAATCGATTTCATGGGGCGTTGATACTTTTCAATTTTGACATTTTTAATGTTAGTCATTAATCATCAACCATTTTAGCTTAGCAGCTTTAGGGTTGTCACGGAAGTGAGCAACTTAAAACGTATTAGGACTTGAATGTCAAAAATACAATTT